GTAGCCTTGGCTGTCCTGGACCATGGCTTTGTAGATCATGCTGGCCTCGAACTCACAGATATCCGCCTGTCTCTTCCTCCCTGAGTGCTGGTGTATGCCTTTAATCCCAGTGATGGAGGAGGCAGAGGCAGGAAGATTTCTGTGAGTTTAAGGCCAGCCTGGTCTACAGAGTGAGTTCCAGGACAGCCAAGGCTATAGATAGATAAGAAAGAAAAACAACTCCTGAAGCCAGACAGAGTGGCATATGCTTGTAAATCTTAAACAAGAAGAAGAGCCAAGAAGCTCACTACCTTGGACCACACGATCCTTTCCAGATGAGTCAGCTGCTTGTTTCCTATCTTGAAGGTATGTATGAGAGTAGAGTTCCTGGAAACTACTTCATACACTTACTTAAACTCGGTGACCAGAAGCCAGGCGTGGTGGCACACGCCTGTGATCCCACACTCTGGGAGGCAGAGGCAGGCAGATCTCTGTGAGTTCAAGGCCGGCCTGGTCTACAAGGTAAGTCCAGAACAGCCAAGACTCACAAAGAAACTCTGTCAAAAAAAGTCATTGACCAGAACTTAATTTCATGTCTTTATTTTGCTTTGAGAGGGAGAATTAGTATGACCTTCATTCTAGGTGATTATGTGGCCCTGAAAAAAATAAATGTTTTTTTTTTTTTTTTTTTTTTTTTCTAGAAGAAGCAGACTGGGTATGGAAACAACTGTTGTTCACTGTGACTCCTCAAAAGGAAGGGAACACAGAGTGAAAACTGATAGAGCCTCATGTCACAATATACTATGGTGCAGACAGACACATGAAAATATTGAGGCCTCAGGTAGGGGAATAAGGAGGTAGATTCATTCCAAATCACAGGCTAAAATGAACCAAATGCTTTTCTTGCCCCTGAACTTAGTGGCAGAGCCAGGTTAAGTAGGGCCACCCGTGCTTTCCCTTCCTTCTGCCCCCTTCCAGGGGATGAATGCTTACTGCTTTTCTATGGAATGGCTAACATGAAATGTATCTCCACATTTTGGGCTTTGTTTATTAAATTTAATTTTTTTTTTCTTTTGAGTCAGGGTCTCACTATCTAGTCAGTAACTCCATAGAGAGGCAAACCAGACTGGCCTTGAACTAACAAAGATCCATCCATTTGCCTCTCCCTCCCAAATACTGGGACTACACCCAGCCTAGAATTAATTTTTTAACATCATGATTTGAATGTGTCCTCCCAAAGCTCATGTGTTGAAAACTTAGTCTCTAAATGCAGCAGTGTTTAGAGACCTGACTTTTAAGGGATAAAATCAGGGGATATAGCTCAATTGGTAGAGTGCTTGCCTAACAACCATGAAGCCCTGGGTTCAATTCCCAGCACTGCATAAACCCTTTACACATGCCTGCAATCCCAGCACTCAGGAAGTAGAGGTCCCCTTCAGCTCCACAGCAAGCTCCAGGATGTCTTGGGTTATGGGAGCTCCTGTCTCAACAAACATACAAATGCCCCTATGAATGGATTAGCAGTTATTGTCAGAGTAAGCTGTTGGTTCCCAATGAGAGGATGGCTCTGAGTGCCTACCATACCCATGCCCCTTCACAGGTGCTCTTCTGTATTCAGGGGTATGATGTAACAAGAAGACCCTTGCCCTCGGCAGACCCTTCTGCCCCTAGGGATTTTCATTTCTAAACTATGGAATGTTTCATAAATTTGTGTGCCATCCTTGTGCAGGGGCCATGCTAATCTCTGCATTGATCCAATCTTAGTATACGTGTTGCTGAAGTGAGCATTCGGCCCCTAGAACTCTTAAAATTTCCGTTCTTTACAAATTACCCAGCCTCAGTAGTTCTGTTACAGTAATAGCAAATGGACTGAAGCAGGTTTAAGTATAGCATATTGAATGGAAAGAGTAGAAGTTTATGTAACTTTCCATCCTCCACTTGGTTTTCCCTGTCATGGAAACGGGTGGTCCATTTGTGAAAGCTACTGAGCCAGTAGTGCGGTATTACCAACTCAAATCCATACATTAGCTCAGGGTCCACTCTTCTCTTCCTCCTCCTCTCCTCTGTTCCTCCTCTTCCTCCCCTTCCTTCTCCTCTTCTTTCTTTTCTTCTATCGTCTCCTCCTCCTCCTCCTTTTTTGAGACTGGTTTTATTATGTAGCCCTGGCTGTCCTGGAACTCACTATGTCGACCAGGCTGGTCTTGAACTCACAGACATCCACCTGCCTCTGTCTCCCAAGTGCTGGGATTACAGGCATATGCCAGTGCACCTGGGTTTGGGTCCACTCTTTGTGCCATACTTTCAGGGGTTTTGACAGAGGTTCGATGGCAAGTAGCCATCGCACTGTACAGAATAGTTCATGGCCCTGAAGATTGCCTGTGTTCTATCTAGTCATTCCTTGATCCTTTTTCTCAAATTCTTAGCAACCACTGGCCTTTTACTGACTCCATGGTTTTCATCTCTTATGATGTCATACAGCCGGTATCTATAGTGTGTAGCCTTTACAAACTGGTATTCCTGCCCCACTGTGCTGGGGGTGGGACTCAGGACCTTGTGTATGCCAGGCAGAGGCTTGACCACCGAGATCCACCCCTAGAAACAGCTTGGCATCTTTCTCCCAAGAATTGCACCTGAGATTCCCCTCTCTCTTTTCACGGATTAATACTTGATTTCTTTTTAGTGCTAACTTTCCATTACAGAAGTTTCTTTATTCCCCTTTGAAAGGCCGTCTGCTTGCTTCTGGTAACAAAATGAAGCTGCTCTGGCTGTCCTGTATAGATTTTTGTCTAGATACACATCTTCAACTCACATGCAAAACACCAGGAGACCCAACTGGTAGGCCATATAGTTGAGAATGTTTAATTTTGTAAAAGAAATGTTGGGTCATCTTCCCAAGTGACTGTGGCTTCTTGAGTTCCTGTAGCACTGAGCAGCAGTCATTGATTTTTATCAGCATTTGGGGTCTTAATCATCCTAAGCGCGTTCTTGTTATTCTAGTTTGCATATCGCCAATGACACATGCTACGGAACATATTTCTTATGTTTATCTCTTGTCTGCGTGCTTTCGGTGAGGTGACTTTTCCAGTCTTGCTCATTATGAAGTTGAGTCATTTTCTTACTATCGAGTCTTGAAAACTCTTTGTATATTTTAGACACTAGTCTCCATCACAAAATTTTTTTGAAAAAATATTCTTCAGTCTTAGGAGTTGTCTCTCTCCCTTCTTCTCTTTAGCCCACGCTGGCCTAAAACTTGCTATACAGATGTAAGAATGGGGACAGACACAATACCAAGAGCAGTAGTCTATGAGAGAAAAACTTGTTCTGGGGCAAGAGGATTGCTTGAACCTGAGCAATGTAGTGAGAGCTTACCTGAAAGGGGGGGGGGTGAGTAAAGTGTTTGTTTTATAAGCCTGATGGCCTGAGTTAATCTCAGTTCAGGTCCCTAGAACCACATAAAAAAGATGAGCATGAGCCGGGCACGGTGGGCCTGCCTCTACTCCCGGGACGCAGAGGAAGGAAGATCTCTGAGCTTGAGGCCAGCCTGGTCTACATAGTGAGACTCTGTTCCACACCTCCACCCCCCCCCAAAAAAAAAAAAAAAAGCAGCTGGGTTCAAGTAGTGCAAATATCAGCAATCCCAGCACACCCCTAAATGGAAGCAGAGAGTGGAGAGTCTGTGGAAGTTGTCAGGGACACTAGCCTGGCGCATGCAGATGAGCACATCGAGACACCAGTCTCAATAAGGCCAAAAGGTGAGGACCTACACTTGAGGTTGTCCTCTGACCTGCATGTGTGTGCTGCTGTGGTGTCCCCCCCACCAACAGTGTTTATAAGATTTTACTTTATGCACATGTGCGTTTTGCCTGAAGGTAGGCATATTGTGCACATGCCGTTCTTGAGAAGGCCAGAAGAGAGCATTCAGTTCCATGGAACTGGTTACAGACAGTTGTGACTGGGAACCTAAAACGGGCCTCCCTCAAGAACAGTAGTGCTCGAAACCCCTGAGCCTTCGGTCTAGTCCACAACGCAGGATGTTTTGATGGATTGTACTTCGTTACAATTGATTGGTAAGAGGGCTCAGCAGATGAAGGTGTTTGCCAAGCCTGAGTTCAACCCTGGTAGCTCACACGGTGGAAGGAGAGAAGCAGCTCCTATCAGTCGTCCTCTGACCATGAGTGCCGTGGCACTTGCCACCACCACCCCACAATAAATAATAAATTAATTAAAAAAAATTAAAACTGGCCAACTGTGGTAGTATGTACCTATACTCTCAGCCCTTGGGAGGCAGGGGCTGGAGGATCAGGAGTTCAAGAGCAGTGTGGGCTACATAGTGAGACCCTGTCTCAAAAACAATAATTTAAAACTGCAAAGGACAATTGTTA